GCAATCAAGGTATCCTTTAGGACTGCAGATATATGAAGGCTTGACTGAGATATCTTGACTGAGGATCTGCTTCCAAGTTCGCTTATGTGGCTTGTCAGGTTTCAGCTATAATCTGGCTCATGGACAGAGTCATTAGCCTGCTACACAGGCCTCTCCATAGGGCTTTTCACAATAAGACAGATTGCTTCTCCCAGAGTTAGGGCTCAAAAAGAGATAGAAAAAGTGTGTGTGTGTGAGAGAGAGAGAGAGAAAAAAATATATATATATATAAATGAGAATGATCAATCATGGCCCATGGAAAGATGTGGAAAATGAGAAATTGAGAGAACAAGAGAAGGTGAGAGAGAAAATATTCACAAGATGAAATTCTCAGTCTTTGTAACCTAATCTCAGAGTGATATCCCATTCCATTAGCCATATTTTATTTATTTAAAGGTTCAGGTAACACTCAAGAGGAAGAACAGCTACAAAAAGTCTTCGATACCAGGAGGTGAGAATCACTGGTGACCATCTTAGAAGGCTATCTATGAGATACATTAAGGAATTATTGTTAATTTTTTCCTTAGGTATGATAATAATATTGTCATCAAGATGTTTTTTATCTTTTATTGATAAATACTAAAATATTTACGGATGAAATAATATTAAACATTTGTTTCAAAATAATACAATAGGAGGTGGCAAAGTAGATGGGGGTATAAATCAAACAAATAGGACCAAAAACTGAAGAACATTGAAGCTGGATGTTGAGGATTAATTCTATTATTCCTTTTAATTTTGTGTTTGCTTGAAATTTTTTAAAGAATTTTTTTTTAATAAAAATATTTTACTTTCCATCTACTGAATTTCTGTGTTTATTATACAATAGCTGTTATCTGGGTCAAAGTAAAACAAGTGTATTTAATATGCCCCCTAAACTTCAATAGTAATAAAGTCAACATGCTGTGATTTTATGATTGATCTTTATATTGCTTTATATTTATTCAATCAATGCTGAGTCCAGAAATGTATGATATTTCAACCTATTTATATTAAGGTCTAATCTGTTTAAATAAAAGTTCTGCAGCTATCATAGAAACTTGAGATGACTACCCTATATTAAAAGCCCCATAAGGCTGAATACTCAGAGTAATGTCATCTTAGAATAAAATTCGCCAAGTGGTGTTATAATTATTTCCCAAAGTAATTATAAATTAAATTTACATACTAGCAGTTAAAGTTGGCTGCATCCTTTAGAGTAAAGAAGTTGAGCGATAACATGTAAAGAATGCTTATTTTAAAAACACATATATGGTTAGGGTAGAAAAAGATGCATATTTTGATTCTTTAATTCATTTGGTAGATAGAGAGGATGTGGTAATTTTTAATAACACATATTTTTCAGCAGAGTATATAAAGTGACTTTTCTCATAACCCAGAGGCACTAATACTAGAAATATTAGGTTAGTAAATGAAAAGAAGTATAAGACTTAAAAAATAGGAGACAAGGCACCTGCTCCTAAAATATATTAACATTTGTCTAAGAAGAATATATTCACAAAAAGACCATATGTGTCACAGCATACCTGTCAACTTTTGCATCACCCTTTTAGAATTCGCCTGTCTTCATGATGTTCCTCAAGTTCTCTATGACGCCTTCCCTTATCCCTCAACCAATGGGAATCTCTCTTCCATATTCCTTCATTGATCTGTGTCACACATTTATGTGGCAGCATAGTCAATATTTTTTGGTTTGTGTCCTTTTCTAAGAGTATTTTTAATATCTTCTTAGGTCATGGATTAGCATTTTGAAAGCCTGGGCTGGGTCTCTTACTTTGTGTACCCCTGAAAGGCCTTGTAATATGGGTTCTCCATACATACATGTTGAAGGAGTAATGGAATAAAATGATTTGCAAAGCTTTGATATTTATTGACTAAGTTTTATTCCACTGTAGAGTGTGTTCCTGTGTAGTCTTCTCAGTGATGTGTATTGAACTGTTCTGTATGGGGTCTGTTCAGTTGGGGAAGATATGTTAGTTGTTAACTCTTTACTTGAAGAGCTCTTTCCTGAGAAATCTTACAGGCTTTTGGGAACAACATGGGATTAAAACGTTTTAGGTCTCTCTTCTCTCAGTACATTGCAGGTACTTACTGTGTTGTTATCTCAGTCTAATTGCTTTAATGCTTTCTCTTAAGATACTGTGTGAATGAAGAATCTGAGATGTATCGATAAAAATGGTGCAATATGGTGAGATAGAGGTGATACTAGAATTCTATTATCAAAGTGACCTTTAAGTGCTTTCAGAATTTTCTGTTACGTAATTTAGTAATAAGTTGAGTTCATTGCGTTCACATGAATTCTTGTTAATTCTTTTTAAAATGATTAACATTTGAATAGTATATGTTGATATAGCATTTCTACATTGCCTTTATAATTTAAAATATATTTGTTATTATATCTGATGCATTTTATGAGAAGACATTAAAGCATGCTCAATGAACTTATAGATCATTTTAAATTCAGAGTCTTAATAACTGCATGCTTTAATATCTTCTCATAAGAAAATGTGTCAATGTCTGAATATGTAGCTGCTTTTTAAAAAAATAAGTAAATATAAAACAAAACAAAATGAATGAACATAAATGCTTTGAAAATATCCTTAAACATTAAAGAAAAATATTGAACCTGAGCTCTTTGGAAAAATGCAAAGAAGCTTTACTCTTTTCATTTGGTTCATGGTTGGAAAAGGCTTGGAGAATGGAAGAGAAGCTTCCCTGGGATTGGAAGAACATCAGGCAGAAGCCTCTAGACTAGGGGGCTGAAGAAAGCGCACTGAGGAGACCCACATTAGAGTCCCCTTGCTATTCTTGATGAGGACTCTCTCCTGAGGTACTCTCCTGGGGGAAGTCTTGCGGCTTCCAGCCTGTGCAGGCTGGTAAGGGAGTCACCCAACGTCTTGAAGACCTCCATATCTTCACATGTTCAGGAAGTGACTTTCGAGGAATTCACACAGAAGAGCTTATTCAGGCACATCAAGGTTTGATTCAGGTTCTTCTCACACCGTGGAAACCTTTATGGCATCCAAGTTATTCTTCCATCAGTGATGGCCTATGAGCTCCAGGCATGATGTTGAAATAAAAGCTTAGGGAGAAAATATAGAAGGTCCTCTCTTCCCTTTCAGGCAAGCATATTACATGAGTTTCACTCCCAGGTATATCTAACAATATTCTGGTGAGAGTTTCACTTCCAGGATTATCTAACAATATTCTGAAGACAAACACAATCAACTTTCTACTCTAGATTTAGAATTAGAGCCTTCTACTAGCTAAGGATGGACAGATGCAAATGGAGCTCCTAACCCAAAGTGCTATTTCAAATATACTAATGGGCTAACCAGGATTCTAATACACTTATTGAGGCAAGGGGGTATCGCAGTTTTTTCTAGCTAATTACATATCTTGAACACATTCATCAATGAAAAGCATTACTAATGTACTTTATGCTAATTCATAGATGTCCTGGGGATATATGTGGATAAGTCTGAATCACTTGTATAGCTACCCTGAGCACAGATTTTGAGTAAAGATCCTTTCAAACATAAGTAACACTTCACCACCACCATGACCAGCATAATTATAATACATAAATATTTTAAAGTATAAGACTGACAATATTACATTTGAGTAAATGACTTATAAAAGACATTCAACCAAATGAACAGTTTGTTGCAAGTTAGGGCTTTTGATTGATAGACTATTCTCTAGTCTCCTCATCTTGATTAGATGTTTTTTTCCCCACTATCTTAAGAACTTACATGGGTGCAGATCTAGTGAGCTCTTTCACTTTTATTCCTTAAGTTTGTGCTCTGACTACTACCAGCCCACTCAAATGGATCTTATCAGGGTCAATAAGGACTACTATTAATATATTGATAAGTCATTGACCCATTCTTGACTCTTATGTTAACCTATCAGTAATACATGACACAGCGAAATTTTCACTCAAATGTCATCTCTTTGAGGCCTTTCTCAGTCACTTGATCTAGAATTCTAAGTCCCTGCCTTATTACTTCCTTTCCACTTCTTTGCCTCTTCTTCTTAGCTGTTACGTGCATTTAATATGCTACAGGTTTTACGTATCAGTCCCAGTTATTTTCTTTCTCCTCCCAACCAGAGCATGAGCTCCACGAGGGCTGTAATTTCTGTCTGTTTTATTCATTGTTTTATCACTGGTGCCTAGAACAATGCATGACACAAAAGAAGTGATTATTGTGCATGGATGAATGAAAAATATCATTTGTGGAAACCTAAACCAACATGAGCTTGTGGAAAGCAATGTGAGAATGTTTATATGTATAAAGAGGGTTTCAAAAAACTTGTTCATGTATTTTTTATTCCAATGAATTTATATTTAGAAATCTATCATAAGTAAATAATCAGAGACAAGATGCAAATTCTGAGTCCCTTAAGTATTATCACCACAGGCTGCTGGAACACATCTGATAGCCACATGAAAGTATTTACTGCTAACCTGAGATTTGACTACAAACCATTGTTGTATTCCCCATCTCTGCAGATGCCGTGTATTGTTTTGTATTGTGCTGTGTGTCATAAGATGTTCACTTTGGTGGGGGTGATGTAAGATAGAGAGCTTCATTCACAGTCTTTGGGAGTTTACATTTATACAATTTTATGAAAGCAATTTTTTGCAACAAAAGACTTACAAATATTAAAATTGTTAACACACAAATTCCACTTAGAATTAATCATAAAGCAATACTCATACAGGCAACAATTTACATAAAAGGACAGTCATCATATAATTATTGATAATGGTTAAAAGTTGAAAACCTTAACGTTCAGAAATTAAATATTCAGTGGAATATTTGTTTTCACAGACTAATAATCTGCAAAATGTCCTTGATAAGTGAAAAATCACATTTTTTTGAGAGCACAACTCCAAATCATCTTTTATTAATATGAAAAGGGCATATTTAGCAAAAGACACACCGAGAAAAGAGTCACTGTGGCCCAGGACATGGGGCAGAGAGGTGCCAGGCCTGAGCCCCTGCTGGGAGAGAAGGAGGCTCAGGACAAAGTGGGAGAAGTCCTGGGAAGAGCTGCGTAGTGGGGCCACAGAAAGCTCCAGTGGGCAACACTATTGGCAGGTCATGGGTGGCACTCACCGGGACCTCGCTGCTAACTCTTGTTTTTGGGGGGGCATAGTTAGTGCTGCCACCTCGAGTGAGAGCCGCCCCTTGGTTCCTGGAGGGCACCATCAAGGGACACAGGACAGGAAGTCCAGGATGGCTAGTGCAGCTCGGGATGAAGGTCAGGGAGAAGCGGGTGCTCTGCAATGGCCAGGAAAGGTCCAGACCCTGAGGCTGAGGGGCTTCCTGTTTCGTGCGGACGCTCCACTCCGTCTCTGCTAGGCACTCTCCGACTAGGGCCCGGGCATGGATGATATCTCTCTTCAGGCCCTTCATGGTGCTCTTGCTGCCAGCATAGGTGGGCCGGATCTCTTTGCTCATCTCCTCTATGACCGACAGCAGGTCCTTGTAGGGTGTTCTGGGAGTCCTGGGCGCTGGTGACTTCATCTCCCGCACAAAGCCCATGGAAGGCGGCCCGAAGTCGTTAAACAGTGGTCTGAAAGGGGCAGCGGCCCCTGACTTTGAGCCCGAAGGCGATGGGACGCTTCGTGACCACGCCCACTTCATGGACCAGCGGGGCCAGCAAACTGAGGCTCAGCGAGGGTAGGCGGCAGGCCAATATTGCAGAACTCAGGTTGTCTTCATTTCGAGGTCTCCACCGTCCGGTAGACGAGCAGGAGTGGAGCTAGATCCTCACCTGGTAGGGATTGGGGTGCACGGCCCAGGGGTGCTGGAGCAGGGGGTGAAAAATCACTAAACAAGGAATCCAATTTTATATTAACAGCATATATCTTTTTTTAAATATAAGTATAGAGAAAGGGGATGAAATCAATGTTACAATGTTATCTGTGGAATTTGACATGGGTGATTTTCCTCACTAGAATATTAAGGTAGAATAAAAAATAGAATGAGACAGTAAAAGTCAGGTTCTTGATTGAAAATCTCCAGGTCTCTTTGCCCAACCTTTTACATTTGCACAACACTTACATGTCACCTTCTAACAATTGATTCTCCTAACCGCCCTGTGAGGTTGGCAGGTCAAGTATCATTATCTGCAGTTCTTATATATAGACCCAGAGAGGTTAAGAGACTTGCCCAAGGTAACCCAGTTAGAGGGTAATAGAACTAAAATTAAAAAAAAAAAAAAATTAAAAAAACTCCATCTCTTCCAGTCACATGCTTTCCCCTACACTGTTCTAAACTATTGTACTAAAAAAATTAGAAAAGAGAAAGGCAGTGATTGTGTTCTCCTGAAAGCTATTTGAGTGTGCTTCTATTAGTGCCAGACAGCTTTGAAGTCATTGATTGCCCCTGAGAGATGATGAGATTGTGCTATGTGGAACTTGGCCATCGTTACCATGTGATTTTCAATTAAGAAGCAAATCAAAAGTATCCAAGTGTCATGGTCATAACCTGAAGGGTTCAGACAAGCTACTAGCTGCATACGAATCAGGGAGGACTAATCATTTGTCTGTGTGTGCTGACTGTCATTTTTCAGAAGAAATGGTCTTTCACACTTGTGGCCAAGCTATTTTATTTTTCGTACTATGGGTGTTGTCATTTGTGAATTAGGTCTTTAACTTATTTTTGACTCTTGGGAAAACTTATTCCAGAATATTCATTGAACAATCACTACAATAATACAGAATGTGAAAGTGTGTTGTTGAGAACAGAACAACTTTGAGAAGTTCAGTAAGAAGACTGCCGGGGAAAGTATAAAAAGCTGTGAACTTAAAGATGTGGGATCAATACAGCCAAGCTGATGGTCCAACTGTCTAACTTTCAGCAAGTCACAACCACTAAACTTCATAATTCATAAACCAGTGCTATTAATCTCTATCTCATAAAGTAGTGAAGATTAAAATAAAATAACTTGTGCCAAAGGGTCTAGCCCTATAATAAAGTGTAAATTTGCTGAATACATTTTTGTTTTGTTTTGTTTCAGTGTAGTGATATAGAAACAGTATCCTCTAGGATGTTAGCTGGAGACTTTAAGGGTAAGCACCTTACTGTGAGAAAGAGCGACTTCATGAAGGAAATGTCATTGGTGCTATGTGATATGCCCTTATGAATTGGCCACTAAGGAGGACGTGAAGGAGCCACGTGAAAAATGTTGTAATCATGCCTACCAATGGCAGCTACTTAGGTGTCATTGTTGATTGATCTTATTGCAAAAGGTAAGAAGTACTCTTTCTCAGGTACATTGTAAAGAAGATGAAAAGGACATATCTACCTCACACTATTTTTTTAATATCTTAATTGTAAAGCAAGCTGCAACTGTCAGAAAACAAAATTGACATGATTGTCAGTCATACTTGAATGAATTGATATTATTAAGCACTTTCTTGTTTATCTCTTGGCACACTTTTTATTGACCTATATAAAATTTACTTATTTTAGTAATACATTATTATGAGATGTGGTTTTTATTCTCCATTTTTTACCTCACCATCAATTGGATATAAATTCTGTATCTCAAATATGTGGATCTCAGTTTCACCTTTTAAGACTTTTTACCAATTCAGTCATTATTTCAAGCTCTTTTTATCCTGTTATTGACGTCTCTAGGTCCCAGACACTTTGACTTTTATTTTTGAGTGATGCACTTGACAATTTAGTTTTAGGGTCTCCCTGGGTACCATGAATGAAATAATTTGATGACCATGATATCATGCTCAATAATCATTCATGAATCCTCCTTTAGGACATCTAGAAACTCTTACCCAAAAATCAAAGAAGACAAGAGATTATCAATTTCTCAGAATGAATTAACTTTTAATATTAATGCTAATGTCACAGCACATAAAGATGCTTCTTGTGGTTAAGTTTGAAGATGCAGAAATCCTTGTCAAGTTACCAAGCCAGAGATGTGCTGTGATCATTTGCTCTTTATCTTTGTTCTTAGTGCTATGCCTGCTGGCTACTTGGCAGGGTGTATCCTAGGTATTCCTTTGTAGAGCATGTGTCCTGACTCTGTGTTCTAGGTTCATTTGCTCACTCATCCATTTAACAAATAACTCTTGGGTGCCTACTATATACTAGGCACAGTTTTCTGAACTGGGGATACATAAAAAAATAAAAAATCCATAGCTTTATGGAGCTTATATTCTAGTATGAGTCACTAAAAGTTAGCAAGTAAAATAAACAGGATGTTAGCAAAGGTGTCCAGATTAGTGTTGCCAAACCAGTAAATACAGCCATATAAGAGACTTACTTCAAAAATTTATTTAGTGATAAGATGTTTGAAAATCTTCAAGTAAAACAAATATTTTCATGTCAAAATTCTACCACTGTCAACATGTGGAAACATGATGCAATTCTAGTTTGTACCCAGATGGCATGGTTTAGGACTGGTCACAAGTGAAATATCTTAAGTATTTGTGTGGATAACTTTGGCTTTAGTCACTATCATTTTGTACATAGTGTATAAAAAAGCAAGCTCTTTTTCTGCGGCTTCCAGTTGACCTTCTACAGAGTTTCTACAGAGTTGTTCCAAAAATATTTGAATAGTGGAAGTCTCATAAGAAGCAGCATGTGACGTCATCTTAAAAACTGAGCACTTTCCAGGGTATTTGGGCATTTGTTTAAAACAACAAAATTAATATCTCTCTTATGGTGTTATCATCATCGAATGAATGTCATCAAATGTCAATCTCATGATAGCAGCCTTATCCAGTAGATGGTAATACTGGGGCAGTGTTGTTCCTAAGCTCCTTGTCAGCAATGTAAACATTGCCAATATTCCTAGGGCTTGGGAAGATTAATATTAGATGAGGCTAAGAAGCGTGGGCTGAACTATAAAAATATCTTGTTTATAACAAGGTCCCATAACAGGACCTGGCCTTGACTCACTTGGAATGTCTGGGTGGACATCAGAACAAATTGCACTATTAGAATTTGATAAAAAGCCTCATTTGCTGCTTAAATTTGAACATTACCCAGATGACTAGGAAATAATGTGGAAAAATATTCAACTCTCTGCTTTTGCAATATCTCCCATTGAATGTCATAATGGATGGATGAGCATTTCAGGAATAAATACTGGCAGTTAGAAATACTGTGTCCTGTAAGTCATTTGAGCTATTTGTGGGAGGTGTGAGTACCTAAAAAAATTCAGGTTTTGGTAAGAAGGAGGAAGGGTTAACAGACGGTAGGTAAACAACACACCCAGCTGCACACTCCAAATTAAAATTGAAGCCATCACACATTTTGTTTGCATATGCTACTAATAGTTGTTTTGAAATATAATAAATTGTCCTGCAGGGTCAGCATAACAATCTAGTTGGCACAATTTGGAATTAGTTGTATTAATTATGTGTTTGTTGGTGTTGTGAATAGGGCTTTGCTATTACTGGGTAAACACTAGCACTTGAGTCTTTTCTTCAAAGCATATATATGTATGTATGTATGTATGTATGTATGTATGTATGTATGTGTGTATATATCCCAACAAAGGAGCTCATTTGAGAATGTGTGCAGCAAAATAATATTGTAGCTTCATGTAGGAAACGTGACAGGAAAGGTAATCACCTAACTCAGAACTTATAAAAAGCCTGATGTTTTCTCTTATTTGTCCTTTATATGTGTGTATATATATATCTTGAACCTTGCAATAGTCTATGGAGAATACATGAAACCACATATTATGATGCTAAGGAATTAAAGACATTTGTATTCCCCTGACTATATTTACTAATACCATTCTTGTTCTGTTGCTATTTGTTATGTAACAGATCAAATATATGACTTAGCCCCCATATATGTTTCTAACTTGAAAAAGAGTGTGAACAAAGTCAAGTGATGGTGATTTGCTGCTTTGAGTGTTGAGCATTTTCTGCTGGTTCTTCTTCTCTTTCACAGTGTTTCTGGGCACTAAAGTAAAATTCTGACTGAGTTCATATTGCTGAGAATAGCCTCTAATTATTTGTTTTTATTGTGTCTCTCACACCTGACATTGTAACAAGTATTTTGATGCCACTATTGAAAATTATAGTTTCAGGGCCAAGACAAGCGTTGAGAGCTGTTAAGTCCCTGAGCCACAAAGAACCACTGTTAATGAAGACATACCCACTTGCAATATTACTAAATTTTATGTAATAGACTGTGTTTTTCCAATGTTTCCTAATGACGGTCCTTGCACACTTTTATAACACTTGGAATGAACCTTATACTCACTGCCAGGGAAAGCCAGGTGAGCCACTGTGTGCAGAGCAGAATGAGGTACTACTGTTGACTGTCACACCTGCTGTGATTTCCTCTGGAAATGGTGGCTTCCTAGTTGCACAAACTGACATACTGTGTCGCACAAAATTATGATGTCTTCCCTCTCTAGCCAACTACATACTTGTCACCTCTAAAACTGTTAAAATCTGTATTTATGTAGGGTATTCAGTTTTACTTTTTGCTTTGTAATGTGTCTCAACTGTATAGAGCTGTAAAACAAGGTTCCAGTGTATCCATTGGTAATTTTTATTTTCCATCTGTTGAAGCCATTTGAAAAAGCTGATGGTCTCTTACTAGCTCAAACTCAGAGCTCGGAAAATAATAGTTTATAATATTCCCATGGTGCTTTTTAGAGTCATTTTTTTTCTTGGTACTTAATTTTTTTCTTTCTCTGGGTGATAGTTTTTTACTTCCAGCATAGAACTGTAGGTGTTTGGCTGTCTCTTTTTTAGATTTAATGCCACACACTGCGTTCCACTGCTACAACATGTGTGTACAATAAATTTTCTTGTAAACTGAGGGTT